CCAGGCAGGAAGACGCTGGAATAAGAAACATTTTTGCTCCAGCCCCCATCCCAGTCCCGGGAGGCCGCTGCGCCAACCGCGCCGAGCGAGCCCCTCCCCGGCTCGCTCGGTCCGAGGCCGCGCCCGGACCCCAGCCCGCCGTCCAGCGCTCGCGGTGCAACCGCGGCCGCGCGGTGGAGGGGAGGTGGCCCCGGCCCACCGAAGGCTCGCGCCCCGCCACCCGCAGAGCGGGCCTAGAGGTGAGTCGACGTCCGCGGACGGGACCGGGTGGCGGGCGGCCTGACCCCCGCTTCAGTGGGCCGTTCCTTCGGGCGGACCCCAGAGTCACCGCAGAGTGGTCGCGGTAGGCTCAATCCCAGCTCATTAGAAACGCAAGCTGCCCCTGGCTGACCCCGCACAGCTTACCCATGACCCTACCTGAGACTTGGAGGGGACTGGACGAGACCCGACTGGAAATCAGAAACTTGGCTCTAAGTCAGTGACTTCACTTCTCTGTTCTACCCTCTTCATAAAATGGGCAGTGGGATTCTTGTCTTGCTCTACTCACATAGAAGGGATCACACGTCCTCCAGGCCGCTGGGTGGACCTGGAGTGAATGTCCACTTCCACAGCTGTTGAGACTCCCCGCAGAGCTCACCTTTCCCAGACCAGTCCTTCCAGCTGTTGCTTGAGGAATCTGACACTATCATTCCAACCAAGGAGCCTCACCCCCAGCCTCGCATGGTCAGTCATCTCGGTTCCACGACCTTCCTTTAGGACCCAGGCCAAAGGGGATCCCAGTCTCCCTCCAGTCTGGGACCCCAGATTTTCCATCTGCCCTGGAGGCCAGTGCTGTGAAACCCACGGCTGGGCTGGCTGCCCCAGCTCCTCTTTCCTTCTCCAAGGACAGGGGTATAATGGACAGTTGCTCTCATCCTCTCTATGTGTGGCCAGCTTCTGGCTGAGTCAGGGTCGGTCCTAATACCTGTTCTCTCACCTGTCCTCCCATTTCATTGGTTTGTTAGAAATAGCTACCCTTTTATTGAGTACTAACTATGTAGACATTTAGATACATTTTTTTCTCATGTAATCCTGGTCACAACCTAGTGGAAGAAGGGTTACTATGTCCATCCTACAGAAAAGGAAACAGACATGAATAACTTGTCCAAAACTCCTTGGATGGTGGGGTAAATGGCATGGTTGGGGTCTTGATAACATTTAAGTGCTTACTGTATACTACTTATACTCTGCTAAATAATTTTGCTACATTTTACCTATGAGATAACACTATTATTCCCACTTTACATATGATGGGAAGCCTAAGCCTCAGAAAGTTTAAGTAACTTGTTTCAAATCTCATGCCTCTAAGAGGCAAAGGCAGGATTTGAACCCAGGTCTCCATGCTCCTGAGCCCACACCCTAACCTCTGTGCTACTCTGTGCTGCCTCCATGGTCTGCCTGAGACCTGAAAATCCAGGCTTGTTGCGCTGCATCACCCCGCTGTGAGGGGCTAATAAATCACGTGGATGAATCGTAGGGGCAACCCAATATGAACAGCTGGGTCTGGTCCTCTGCTGTTGGGGTAAGGCCTACTGAAGTGCAGAGTGAGTCCAGAAGGTTGTGCTTGAGATGGTGCTTCTCCAACCCTGTGACAATCACTGCTGTGCTGAGCCACTGCCGTTGATGGGAGTGGGTTTTATCAATCCTTCAGGTGTGCTGGGGAGAAAAAGATTGATAAGCACCTTTGGGGCATACCACTACTCTGGCTCTCCCCACCGGAGGCTCAGACTTTGACTAAGCCTATGGCAAACTGATGATTTCTGGGCAGCAACACTGTTGCCTGGGGCAACATAGTGAGACCCTATCTCTACTAAAAATAAAACTGGGCATGGTGCTGCACCCCCCTGTAGTCCCAGCCACTTGGGAGACTGAGGTGGGAGGATCACTTGAGCTCAGGAGTTCAAGGTTACAGTGAGCTATGATTGCACCGCCGCACTCCAGCCTGGGCAACTGAGCAAGACCCTGTCTCAAAAAAAATTAAAAACAAACAAAAACGCTGTCTGCATTTAAACAAATCTGAGTAGGGCACCCGTTAATAACAACAGCAGTGGGCAATTTGTTCATGTCCACCAAGACCCATGTCTTTTTCTTCCTTTGAGGAACTTATCTAACCCCAAACAATTGGAGGAATAACAACGACCAAGGAAGGATTTATTATCAGCAATTTAAGTTTATAAAGACACACTCAGTGACTATGGACAGGAAACTTAACATCTCTGAACCTCACTTTCCCCCATTGGACTGTTGTGATGATTAAATCAGATAAACCATTCAAGTTCAGTACTTAGCACATAATTAGTACTCAGAGAAGGTTAACTGTTATTATTAAGTATTTCATAGTGTTTAGCTAATGTTTGAATTTAGTTTAACGTTTGTAATTTCTGGCCAACAATAGTGATGCTTCTGTCAGCAGGAGATCTTTCACAAAGTTTTGCTTAGAAGTGAAAGGATCCTGCCAGGCCCCAGGAGTCTGTTTGTGCTACAGTCAGATTTTAGGGCGAATCGTAAAGAATCAGCTCTGAGTTTGAACTGGTCAGGACTCAGCACCCTTCTGTTCTTGACCTCACACTGGGTCCAGTTAAAAATTGGACAGTCCCAATTTTACTCCATCACATTCCCAGGATTAGACCAAAGATGGGTTCTGCAGATGCAGACAGGCCTCGCTCCACAGTATCACCAAGTCCCGGCTTTGGTGTTTACCCTTGGCTGTCCCTTCTCTAGTAGATGGGGAGGGTCCTGGGTGGGAGTGAGTGTCCCCTCCCTCTGCGTCCCACTCCCACTCACCCAGCAGGGCCCTGTACAGCAAAATGAAAGCAGAGGAACCAGACTTAGCATTGTGCAGGACCCATTTCTCAAAGAGTGGTGCCCACACAAACTGATCAGAACTCCCTAGGAAACTTTTAAAAAATGCATGTTTCTTGCTGATTCCAGGACTGAATCAGAGTCTGGAGTGAGGGTGAAACCAGTGAATATGCTTTACTAATTGAGCACTTCAGGTGATTCCAATGCGTGATAAAGTAGAAGGAGGGTGGACTGGGGCACGGCCAGAGAACTAGAGGTACGGACAGAGGGTCCTAGAAGAATGCCGGATTTTAGCCTTAGTGTTAGCCACTTTTTTCTTCCCACCTCAAACCCTCTTCTTTGCAGCTTTCTGGGCTAGCAAAGGCCGCCAAGGATGGCTTCCTGCTAGTACCCCAGTGGGCAGATTCAGCCCCTCTGGGGTGCTCTCTCCATCCCATCCCACCACGGGCCCCGCCACACAGTGCTGGCCAGAGTCCCCACTGGCTGCGGGAGGGGCAAGAAGCAGGAGGTCAGGCAGAGGCTGGGGACACAGCTGCAGCAGCCCAGGGCTCTGTTTCCTCCCCCAGCCTGGGCCTCTGGGGCAGAGGAAGCCCAGGCAGGAAGGCCAGGCGTGCCACCAGCCAGAGAGGCCTATGAAGCCCCCCACCCCATCCCTGGCCATACTGCCCTCAGAGCCTCAGGATCTCGGGTCTTCATTTGGCACCATTCTTAAACTATGGGCCTTCTGAAGCCTCTGTGGCCATATGCCCAGCCCTGTGAGGATCACCATGTCATGCCAAAGGACAGTCTCCCTGCCTTGTGCGCTGCCTGAGGATCCAGTCCCCAGACACACACCTGCACACACTCCACCATTCAGAAAGTCCTGTTGCTGTCTGACTAGAGTCCTTCTAGCTGCAGCTTTAGCCCATATCTTCTGGTTCTAAACCTCTGAGAAATGAAGACTGGGTGGCTTCAGAAGCACTAGTTGGCGTGGGACCTGGATTGGGGACTATCACAGACCAGAATTACTCCCCCTGACACTCTTCAACAAACTTCTGAAAAAGTTCAACCCTAGTCAGCCATGGAAGGTCAAACATTCAGTGTCTAAGTGTGTTTCACTTCCCCTGCCACATCACTGGCCCTCCACCCACCCTTTCCTAGATGGCAAGGGGAGAGAAGGGGCCCAGGGAATGACTCTGAGAGGACAGCTTATACTCTAGTGAGCTTGCAGAGAGGTTCCTCTACACCTGGCATGACCCGGCGCCATCCAAGCTTTGCGTGGTTATTACAGCCTGAGGGCTCAGACATGGGCTGCCACCACTGGATAGGGACAGTGTGGAGAGAGCACTTGACTAGGAGTCTGGAAGCCTGGGTTGTACTCCTGCTGGTGCCAGTGAGTCCTGTCTGACCCGGGACAAATCTTCTTCCCTATATAAGCCTTAATCCTTTCTTCTGTAAAACAAGGAGCTGGATTTTGTGATCCACCTAGAATTCTGTCATGTGGGTGTCCCAGGCACAAGGAACTAAGGGTAGCAAGGAACTAAGGGCATATTTAAATAGCCTCTCCAGACCCTATGGCTGCTGCAGCCCACCCTGAAAATATGCCCTTAGATCCCTGCTGTGCGTGACTCTTGCCTGTTCTATCCAGACCCCAATCTAAACAATCTTGATTCCTGTTCCTGGCTTGGCAGGACCCTGAATGGCAGGAAGTGAAGACAGGAGCCTGTTTATGTTTGAGGCAGCCAGGGCTGGGGGGGCACTGGGAAAGGGTAGGCAGGGGTGAAGGCTGTGAGGCTGTGGGAAAGAGACACAGAACAGAAGGGGAGCTGCTGGAGAGATGCTCCTTCAACCCCAACTGGGTGCTCCCTGCGGCTCTCCCAACCTGCCTCCAGTCTGAGCTCAACAGCAGGGGTGCAGAGCTAGGGTTTCCCCAAGCTCTCGGTCACTTAAATGTGGCTCTCCACCCTTCACCTCTAACAGGATGGTTTCCATGGGGAAGTGAACCAGGACTTCCCTTGCAGGCCCCGCCCCAAAGCCAGGCAGCAGGGAGTAGGGAGGCGGCCTCCCTGCCTCCCCTCCAAAAAAAACTCTCTGTGATTTCCTCTGGGCGGGAGGGAGCCACGGCCGGCGGCTGTCACATTTTGCAGCTCTTACTCCACCTCTCTTGCTCCTCTCTGCAGGGACCATGACCTTGGGCTCCCCAAGGAGAGGCCTTCTGATGCTGCTGATGGCCTTGGTGACCCAGGGTGAGTACTGGGGGAGCAGTTAGGAAACAGGAACCTGGATAGAGAAAGGGCTATCTGGGCCCAGATCAGCTCTGCCTGGGGCTGAACTTGAGAAACTGGGGAGAATTTAGGAGCTTGACTGGAGAATAGAGGAGAGTGAGGCTCCATTAAACTCAGCCCCCAGTTACCCCAGCCCTCCTTTGCTCTCCTCTTGGTCCAGACCTGCAGGCTGGAGCTCTGTCAGGCTAGGGTGGAAGCCTATATGTGGGGCGGAGGGAGAGCAGGTGTTGGCAGGCCAAGCCTGGGAGCGCTCTCAGGACTGGGGCTGGGGGCGCAGCCCAGCCTAGAACTGGGAGGGGAGAACCTAGGAGCCAGGAGGGGACAGAAGCCTGCTTCTCAGTGTCAGCTGCCCTGAGGGGAGGGCTCTGAGGGAAGGATGACTGAGGATGGAAGTAAGGGACCAAAGCTTCAAGGTGTTTGTCTGGGGGGTCAGACGAGAGGGACAATGGGACAGAAATGGGTGTCAGGCTCAGCCTGGGGGAGCTGGGCCCAGAGTGGCTGAGCTTCCGGTGTGTCTCCCAGGTGACCCCGTGAAGCCCTCTCGGGGCCCGCTGGTGACCTGCACATGTGAGAGCCCACATTGCAGGGGGCCTACCTGCCAGGGGGCCTGGTGCACAGTAGTGCTGGTGCGGGAGGAGGGGAGGCACCCCCAGGAACATCGGGGCTGCGGGAACTTGCACAGGGAGCTCTGCAGGGGGCGCCCCACCGAGTTCGTCAACCACTACTGCTGTGACAGCCACCTCTGCAACCGCAACGTGTCCCTGGTGCTGGAGGGTACGTCCAGCTGGCCCAGCACTCCCTCCCCATCTTCTCGGCCCCTGCCCTCCCTTCCCTCCTCTCCTCTCATGCTCTGGCCAATAAAGGGGCTGCGGGCGGGGGGGCGGGCAAGACTCTGGGATTTAACTGGCAGAGTGGTCTGCCCGAGGTAGGGGAAGATGACCTAGTGCAAGCTGAGCCTCAATGTCCCCTCCTCCAGCCACCCAAACTCCTTCGGAGCAGCCGGGAACAGACGGCCAGCTGGCCCTGATCCTGGGCCCCGTGCTGGCCTTGCTGGCCCTGGTGGCCCTGGGTGTCGTGGGCCTGTGGCATGTCCGATGGAGGCAGGAGAAGCAGCGGGGCCTGCACAGCGAGCTGGGAGAGTCCAGTCTCATCCTGAAAGCATCTGAGCAGGGCGACAGCATGTTGGGGGTATGGGCCTGGGGACCTGGGACACAGGGTGGAGTGGGGCAGATAGCAACTGCGGAATCAGAGGGGTCATCCAGAGAGTAGAGCCGGTGGGGAGCTGGGCGAGTGAGGAGCTTGCAGTGACCCAGCAGGTCCCAGGTTGAGGATGGAGAAGGGGGCTGCGGCTGGTTAGGGCAGCTTTTGAGTGGCCTCTCCATACCCCCAGGACCTCCTGGACAGTGACTGCACCACAGGGAGTGGCTCGGGGCTCCCCTTCCTGGTGCAGAGGACAGTGGCACGGCAGGTTGCCTTGGTGGAGTGTGTGGGTGAGCAGTGGGTGAGCCCGGTGGATGAGGACCAAGGGCTCTCATGGGCCTGGAGGGGTGAGGGAGTTCTTGGCTTCCGGAATCACAGGCAGTGCCAGGCCTGGGTCAGAACTGGAATTCTGCTGGGCAGGGAGTGGGCTGGAGACGGGCCAGGGCTAGGTTCTTTCTGCAGGACCAGGGTGGAACGAGAGGCAGCTGGGGGTGGCCTGCTGCTGGGTTTGGGTCTGGATTAACTTAAACCTAAGGGTCAGGGGTTCTGTGGGTGGGGTGGGTGAGGGAGGCTGCACAGCATCAAGATGAGGGGCTCCTCCAGGGCTCTGTGTGCCGAGTGTGTAACCCTCACCTTCCCCTCTGGCCATCAGGAAAAGGCCGCTATGGTGAAGTGTGGCGGGGCTTGTGGCACGGTGAGAGTGTGGCCGTCAAGATCTTCTCCTCGAGGGACGAACAGTCCTGGTTCCGGGAGACTGAGATCTACAACACAGTGTTGCTCAGACACGACAACATCCTAGGCAAGGGGAGGGGCCGGCTGTGCCAGGCCTGGGGCTTTGCCCTCCTGCACTCAGGGCTCGAATTCGCAGACCTCCAGACATTAACAGAACCCTGAAGGACTCCCAGCCCACCTGCAGCACCAACCTCTTTTTTTTTTTTTTTTTTTTTTTTTTTTTTTTTTGAGACAGGGCCTCGCTCTGTCACCCAGGCTGGGATGCAGTCGTGCAATCTCACTGGAACCTCAATCTCTTGAGCTCAAGCGATCCTCCCACTTCAGCCTCTTGAGTAGCTGGGACCACAGGCATGTGCCACCATGCCCAGCTAACTTTTTTATTTTTTGTAGAGACGAGGTCTCCCTATGTTGCCCAGACTGGTCTCAAATTCCTGGGCTTAAGCAATCCTCCTGCCTTGGCCTCCCAAAGTGTTGGGATTACAGGTGCAAGCCACTAAGCCAGGCCCAGACCCAACCTCTGACTCCAGCTCTGTCTCTGACCTAAGCCACATCAACCCCCACCCCAGACCTTGCTTAGCAGTGACCCAGCCCATTCCCTCTCCCCCGACCCCACCCTGACCCTGACCACTCCAGCCTCCCTTAGCCCCAGCCCCTTGGCTGAGTCACCCGACCCTTCTGTGCACAGGCTTCATCGCCTCAGACATGACCTCCCGCAACTCGAGCACGCAGCTGTGGCTCATCACGCATTACCACGAGCACGGCTCCCTCTACGACTTTCTGCAGAGACAGACGCTGGAGCCGCATTTGGCTCTGAGGCTAGCTGTGTCCGCAGCCTGTGGCCTGGCACACCTGCACGTGGAGATCTTCGGTACACAGGGCAAACCGGCCATTGCCCACCGTGACTTCAAGAGCCGCAACGTGCTGGTCAAGAGCAACCTGCAGTGTTGCATTGCTGACCTGGGTGAGCCGGGCGGGGCAGGGGCAGGCCCTTCACAGGTGGGCACAGCCTGTGCTCTCTCCTCTCCTTTGCCTATGGGCAGTGACCATGATTGGCACTTGAAAACAGAGGTGCATGTTGTCTCAGTTCTCCTCTGCAAGACCGCATGAGTTGTCTGAACACCCTTTTCAAACCAGACTCCTTCCACCATACCATCCTGGCTCCAGGAGTTGGGAGAAAGGAGGCAGGAGCCAGGAACCTGGGTTCTCATTCCTGGCTTCGCTAACTATATCCCTCCCCGGCACCAGCCTCTGGCTCTGCTCCGTGAAGTGGGCATCATAATGCCTGCCTTGCCCACTCACATCTCGCTGGGTTCTTGAGAACCTAAAGAGCACTACATAAGCAAAGAGTACCTGGGGCGGTGGTTCTCTCTGTGGTCACTGTCTTCCAGCCCATCTCCATGCAGGTCTCCATCTGCCTCCCCCTCTCTGTCCCACTGCTTCTCTCAGTCCCCACCTTGCCTGCCCCCTGGACCCCAGGTCAGGGAGAGGGACAGGAGTGACAGGCCTCACCCCCACAGGCCTGGCTGTGATGCACTCACAGGGCAGCGATTACCTGGACATCGGCAACAACCCGAGAGTAGGCACCAAGAGGTACATGGCACCCGAGGTGCTGGATGAGCAGATCCGCACGGATTGCTTTGAGTCCTATAAGTGGACTGACATCTGGGCCTTTGGCCTGGTGCTGTGGGAGATCGCCCGCCGGACCATCGTGAATGGTGAGTGTCCACCCTACACAGGGTAGGGAAAGGGGAATTGGCCCGTGGAGCCAGGGGCTTCCTGCCATGGCCAGTGCCCATGGCCTGGGAGGTTTGCAGCCAGACCTCCTGGCACCCTTTCCATGCTGCCCACCAGCTGATTCAGCTGAGTGACCTTTTAAGGTATAAACCTTAAAAACAGATAACGGGGTCTGTGAGTCTGGCTGTGAAATCTTGGGTATGTGATAATAACAGAAATATTAATAGCAGCTAACATTGATTGAGCTTAAATATGTGCCAGATGCCATGCTATATACTTTACATGTATTATCTTATTTGATTCTTTGATATGGGCAAGGCAGTGGTATTGCTTAGTGGCTAAGAGCATAGGCTTGGAATCAGACTTCCTGGGTTCTATTGCTGATTTTGCCATGACCATGGGTAGGTTATTTGGCCTCTCTGTGCCTCAGTTTCCTCATTTGTAAAATGGGGGCGGTGGCTCATGCCTGTAATCCCAGCACTTTGGGAGGCCGAGGCGGGCAGATCACCTGAGGTCAGGAATTCGAGACGAGCCTGGCTAACATGGCGAAACCCTGTCTCTACTAAAAATACAAAAATTAGCCGGCTCTGGTGGCACACGCCTGTAATCCCAGCTACTCGGGAGGCTGAGGCAGGAGAATTGCTTGAACCTGGGAGGCAGAGGTTGTGGTGAGCCGAGATCGTGCCACTGCACTCCAGTCTGGGCGACAGAGTAAGACCCTCTCTCAAAAAAATAAAATGAGTAAATAAATAAATAATAAAAATAGCTTCCAGTTGTTGAGATAATCTAAGTATTTAGAACAATATCTAGAGCTAAATATTAGTGGCCGTTATTGCTGTAGATAGAATGAGTGCCTGACCTCGTATTGTCCCCATTGTACAGTTGAGGAGATGGGGGCACAGAATGACAGCGGGCTTGAGGCAGCACTAGGGTCTGAAACTGGCCAGTCTGCTCCGGGGCCAGTGCTCATCATCACTGTGTGCACTTAAACCTCTCTGGCCTTTGATTTCTTCATGCACACAATGCATATGAGTGCCTGCACTGCCTGCTTATTGCTGCCTCGGTGTTACTGTGGGTTGCCACGGGGGACTCTGATTTAGAGGGACTGCGGCAGGTAGAGGGACCTGCCCCGGGCAGCCCTGTGGTTGATGCTCTCTCAGCCCTGGGGTGGACGGAGGATGGGTGGGTCTTCTACACTGGTGGGAACATTGTCAACCTTTGAGGAGGCTGTCCATGGTGAGGGACTTCCAGGAGTCTTGACAGGTTGGGGACAATCCTCAGGATATGGCCGGAGCCCTGCTTCTTGGGGACAAGGATGTCTTCATTTCCTGAGTATCTACTAGGAGCCAGCCCCATGCCAGACTTCATTTGTCCTCAGCGGTCATCGACTGAAAACGGAGGCTGTGGTGTCACCAGTCCCTTGGGGAGACTCACGAGGCGCTTAGATTCCTTAAGACTCTGGGGATGAACTGCCAGAGTGGGCTCTGAGGAGACTGGGATCGGGGGAAAGGGGAACCTGGAAGAAGCCAAGGCTCTTTGGACCAAGCTGCAGGGCAGAAAGGAAAGGCTGGGAGAGGCTGCCTGGGGCGGAGGGGGAAGCTCCATCAGCCCCACACGGACTCGAGGCACATTATAAACACTGTAATCTGGTGTCAGCCCCGGCACTGATTAAAGGCCCATTAGACACACTCAGGCCTCTGTGCAGCACTGATTAGGGCGTGAGCGGCACAGGGGCCGGCCTGGAAGCTGGCCATGGGGAGAACAGCTGGCGAAGGCTCTATCGAGGTTGCGGCCTGTGTGGCCATGGCCCCCAGCCTCAGGCTGGGAAACAGGATGGGGCACAGGGCTGTCTGCAACTCCACAGGCATTGTTTTCAGAAAGCTCCTACTAAAAACTGTGAACTTGGGATACCAAGAGGAGGGGGTCAGTGCTGGCTGCAGGAGTCAGCAGAGGCCTGTGCCATCCCTGACACTGGGTGATGTTATGTGGACCTGGATAAAAATAAGTGCAGATCGGAGGTCAAGAGCACATGCTTTGCTGTTAGACTTTGTGGGCTTAAATCCTAGCCCTGTCACTTACTATCTGTTGATCTTAGACAGGTTTCTTAAACTCTCTGGCCTTCATTTCTTGGCTTATGAAGTGGAGCTAATAGTATTACCTACCTCATAGGGCCGCTGTGAGGATTTCATGCGGAGCTCTTAGGATAGCACCTGGCACACAGTGCTCAGTAAACATTTGGTGTTATTATTATCAGGCATGTGTGATAGTTGGGGCCTGCGAGCAGTCCCAGGCACTGGGTGGAAGGCAACTGAGGAAAGACTGGGACAAGGCTGGCCTAGGAATCTGAGATGGATTTGTCTTGCCTCTGCCATTACTAGCTGTGGAACGTTGGGCCCCACTTTTCTGAGCATCAGTTTCTTCATCTGTAAAATGGATGTAATACTAGTAGCCACCCCATAGGGCTATTGTGAGAACAAACAGGATAAAACACATAAAGTATTTACAGCAGAATACCTGGCACATGCCAAGTGCAAAACAAACAGCAGTCATTAGTATTAGTTAGAAACACATTTATTGCATTATACTGTCCCTCTGAGGGACATGTCCAGGCCACTGGTTTCTGGCTGTTGGGATGGAGGGTAGGAAAGGCTCTCCTCCGGGTGGTATTGGGCCTCCTTGGGGTCCCAAGTGATTGTCCCCTCCATTGTCCATTTGCAGGCATCGTGGAGGACTATAGACCACCCTTCTATGATGTGGTGCCCAATGACCCCAGCTTTGAGGACATGAAGAAGGTGGTGTGTGTGGATCAGCAGACCCCCACCATCCCTAACCGGCTGGCTGCAGACCCGGTGAGGCCTCTACTGGGACTAGGATGGCATGGGGTGGTGGCTCACGGCTGGGATTTCTGGGCCCAAGAACTTGTGTCTAAGGCCTCTGCTTCATCTCAGGTAGATAGTGGGTGTCCTGGTTAGGGCACCTCTCTAGGTACTCCCTCTTTCAACCCTGGCCCATGCTCCCTGCCCCAGGGCCATCTGGTCATTCTAAGAATTTAAGAACCTTCACCTTCCTTGTGAAAAGTCAGAGGCTCTCTGTGGCTCTGTGTGTGTGTGTGTGTGTGTGTGTGTGTGTGTGTGTGTGTGTGTGT